TCCGCGGGCCGGTACATTGAGACCCCGGCATTTTTGCCGCTCCCTAGGAATCTGCCGCCCGAGGCAAACGCCGTGTTTGCCTCGCGGCAGATACGCCCCTGGCCGCCTGTCCAGGATTCACACGGACATTACGGGTTTTGAATGCTGTGCCGGGGTTCATGGCAGCAGAAGCCCGAACACAAGATGTCAGGCAGACGGGGGCAACCAAAATGAAGATTGGGGCTACTGGCCCCCCACTGAAAATAGTCTTGACTGTGATATTTACATATGAATGGGTGACACTATTTACATATGAATAAGCCGCAACTCATTCCCCCCAAAAAAATCTCTATGCGTCGCTAGAGTGTTCGGGTTTTGCTGAAAGAAAAGGTGGCAACCCTACCTGGGACAGCTCTGCACTGTCAGCAGTTTAGCATTAGCCCGCTATCTACTAACCTTGGGTCACAGGAACATATTAGCAAATGTCCTCCTGTGGCCCAAAGGAGAAGTAAAGCCACAAAACAGGTTTGACTTTACTTCTCCTTTAAGTGATACTGCGGCATGGGGAATGGGGGCCATTAGGTTTTCTCCGGCAGTACGTACATTGCAGGCTGACACTACGCCGTCTCCACCAGCGCAGATCATGTTGGTCTTCACGGTCCTTCCCCACCAGTCAGACAGGGAGCAGGTGTCAAAGTCCACAACCAGGAGAAGAGCTTGCTGCAAGGCATCTGCGCCGGGTCCGCCGGCTACAAATAAAAAATGCATCATATTAACATACATAAGTCTTTCTATTTATTGTTAAAGTGTTCCTGACTTTAGAAAGGATGATCGTACCCAGGGGCTAATGTATAATCGTTCCATCCAGCGTATAGCTGGGCGAATGCCATTCGCATTTCATTCCTAAGCCAAGGAGCATAAGAAACCCGCCACTAGATGGAGCCCGAGGAGCATAGGAAACCCGCCACTAGATGGAGATGAGGAGCATAGGAAACTCCCGCCACTAGATGGAGCCGAGGAGCATAGGAAACACCCGCCACTAGATGGAGCTGAGGAGCATAAGAAACCCGCCACTAGATGGAGCCGAGGAGAATAGGACATTACTGCTACTAGATGGAGCCGAGGAGCATAGGAAACTCCTGCCATTAGATGCAACCAGGGAACACAGGAATCTCCCGCCACTAAATGGAGCCGAGGAGCACAGGAAACTCCCGCCACTAGATGGAGCCGAGGAGCATAGGAAATTACTGTGCTCTTTGGCACCATCTAGTGGTGGGAATACCATGCAAACAGCATTCGCCCAGCTATACACTACAGTACTTGTTTTGGTTTTGTAGCTTGGAAGGCACCCACCTGGCAGCCAGTCAGCCAGCATTTCCCTAAGGAGAGACCAGCCTTCAGTCTATGGGATTTCCCATAGTACAAGGTCCCTTAAAGCTAAGCTGCACTTACTCTGGAGGTTTCCCCAGCCGGTGACGTAGCAGCCAACGTTGTGTCCAAGGATGACGTCGGGAGGGGGCAGGCAACCGGGCTGGATGACGTCGTTGGATTCTACGGGCTCTGCCAGCTTAATGAGAGAGATGTCATTCCTAGCGGATGCAAGGGAAAGTATTTACTATGGAAACCCACTATTTAAAGGACCGGTACATTTTAAATTAAGTTTAATATCATGAAAAGCAAGAGTGTTCACATGTGTGTAGAACTGGAGAAGCACACCCTCCCTCCTGATTGGACTGAAGTTTAATCTGCTTAACTTTTGCCTTCCCTGGTTTCCCCCTCCCCCCCCTTCCCTGCAGGAACTAACTGTCACTGCTTTTGAAAATAAGGATCCTTATCCTGTTATGTCTGCTTTGTGAATTGAGCTGTATATATATATATGTGTGTCCTGGTGAGAGGGTTCCCTCACTTTAAATAGAGTTTCTCTCACTTCCTGATGTCTTAAAGGGACCAAGACAGCAAATAAAAGACAGATACAGTACCCTTCCAAACTGTATCTAAAGCTAAAAATTAGGGATGCACCGATACCGTTTTTACCGTTTTCGAGGACAATTACCGATATTTTTTCCCGATACTCGCCGATACCGAATACCGATACCGGCAGGCCCATTAAGGAAGCCGGGCGGCTTGTAATGACTCGCCACCTGTCTCTTTGTTTAGCCAGGACGCATGTAGGGACTCGCCACCCGGCTTCCCAATTAGCAGGGAAGCCGTCTCCATGCTCCCTGGAGCATGAAGCCGGCTTTCTGGCCAATCCGGAAGGCGGGGCCCCGTGTAATAGCGCGTTGCCCGGCTTCCTGATTGCCCGGGAAGCCGGCTCAATGCTCCCCCGTCACATGTGATGAGGGAGCATGGAGTCGGCTTCCCACCCGATCAGATAGCCGGGCAGTATGTAATGACTCGCTGCCCGGCTTCCTGATACCGGAAATATCGGGCTAGGCATTGGAGCATTTGGGCGAGTTTGAGTACGGCACTGATGCCGATACTAGTTTCGGTATCGGTGCATCCCAAATAAAAAGTATCCTTTAAAAGCATTATCCGAGTATTGTCTGCGGCGTAGGAGGTTACCCGTTAGCCAGAAGGTTGGAGTTCCATCGGGGGTGGTTAATGAGCTTGGTGACGCTGATGGTCTTGACGTTGGGTTCGTTCTGTCTCAGGTTGTGTCTTCCGAGCTGGACTCTGTACACTCTGGAGGTGCTATAAGAAAACAAACGATTGGATACATTGTAATTATTATCTATGAATACAAGACCGCAGGGGCCGGGGTCACACTGCTGTACTGCGGTGGGGCGTGTTACATGCATTGGTACAATGCCGCTCCATTACTTCTGAATAGAACCCCAAGTCCCCTTCTCAGTGTATGTGTGTGCTGTATGTGTGTTGCACTCCTTGGGTGCCCTGACATGTAATAGGCAGACCATTCAAATGAAATTGCTGCCGTAACGAAACACACAACTAACGCGTTTTAACCCCGGTGCCCTAACTAGTCATGAATGCAATCTTTCATTGTGCAAAGCCACACCTTTAAAGTGCAGAAAAACGCATCAGAATGCTGCAAACTGATGGATGGTAAAATCCGATTGGTTGCAATGCTATACTCTCTCCTTATATCGTTCACCCCGACTTATTGGCCATACACTTTATCGGAGGGGACTTTCTGCTTATATCACTTTATTGGCCTCTGCTAATCCAAAATCATTACCAGAACAAAAGGTGAGTGGAAATCCTCCATTGGGGGCACCTGTTTTTGGGGACAACTGTCTAAAAGAGGAAATCCTCTCACTTTTGGGAGATTTCCTCTAACTTCCTGTTGCGCCACCGGGACAGGAAGTGATGAAAAATTTCCCCAATGGTACACATGCAACAAAAGTAAACTGGCAGAGGTTTTAACCCCTTCCCTACGCTATCTAAAACTATTTTTAAAAAACAGCCTTGGTTATACATATCCTTTAATCTGTTTTTTTTTCAATAGAAAGGAACATGCACAAAAGTGGCATTTAATTTAGTTTACTAAAAGCACATATGTTTACTTAGGGGCCTATTTATAGGAATTTGAATATAAATTTGCCCTATGAGTCTTTTTGAAAACAATGTCTGTGTGAATAGATGCAAATAACAAAAATTCTTTATTATTATTATTATTATA